CATCGTGTTGTAAAAATTACACCTTTCGCAACCACGGTGACTGTAGTGGCGGGTACAAGTGGAATCGTTGGATCAATGACTAATCAACTTAATTATCCGGGTGGTATCTATTTAGACACAAACAATACTTTATATGTGGCGGATAGAAATAATTAGTAAGTCTAAAAGTATCTCTTTGTACACCGGTACACATTTCAAAATATTGCTAGTCATTGTTTGCTAACAAAACTATTCAGAAGAAAGTAGCATTATAATGCCAGTCATTATGACATGATTCGTACGCTCTTTCTTACTCCTACAAGTAACGTTCATCGTCAAGCGATTCACTTAGCCCTAGACTGATAGAATACATGTACGGAAGGAATAGCATAAAAAGCTACATTAAAAAAGTAATACGCAACATTGATAATATGACCAGTATACCTTAGGCGACCAGAAAACTTAATTTGGAGAATTCTCACTCTAAGTAAAGATGATGCATTTACAAATTTAATTTTTTTTTATTCGTTTTTGTTTTATTTTTTTTTTTGCTTTTATGAATATAAATAGCGCCTAATAAGATTAGACAACAATACGATTTTTTTATAATTATATTGGCGCTATTTGTACGTACAAAAATATGAATTATATTATTCATAAAATTTGAGTTTTATTAATCAATATTTTATACTTAAATTCACGCATTAATTCTAAACTATTAATAAATTAGATATTCATTGATACAACATTGCACAATCAATCTTACAATAATGAATAATTTAAACGATTTCTTTAAATCCATACTGCTCATTTGGTCTGACTCTCACTAATTAAATGCTTGTGTAAGTAAGCCGTTTTACATCACTACCCAAATTATAGTTATTCCATTGACATTTTACCCATGATTATTATGGGTTCATTTACATCAGTCTTTAGATGGTCATTTGTACCATAGTTACCGGAATAGTTGTTTGTACCATGATTGCTATATGGTCACTTGTGCCATAGTTATGTGGTCGTTTCTACCAAAAAAATGACCGTTTGTGCCATAGTTACATGCTCATTTGTACCATAGTTACCTAGTTAATTTTAGTAAAAAAATGGCCATTTGTGCCAAAAAAATGGTCACTTGTGCCAAAAAAATGGCCATTTGTGGCACGAAAATGGTCACTTGTGCCAAAAAAGTGGTCGTTTATGCCATAAAAATGGTCACGTGTGCCAAAAAAATGGCCATTTTGACTGCGTTACCGACAGACAGACGGACAGACAGACAGACAGACACAGGTGAATTTCGGTTTCTAGACGCTAGCCTTTCAGTCTTGGGAATAGAAAGAAAATCTTATTTTATTGGCTTTGCGCGCCATTCGAAATATATATTTATTTTTATTTTAACGATCACATAGTTACCATATGGTAACCATACGTGTTACAGACAGACAGACAGACAGACAGACAGACAGACAGACACAGGCGAATTTCCGTTTCTAGACCCTATACTTTCAGTCTAGGGAATAAGATTATTGCTTAACTTACGGGAATAGACTGATAAATACTAATTAATCCATGAATTGTGTTTTACTTTGTTCTAGCCGAGTAGTGATGTATACAACTGGTAGTTTGTTTGGAACTGTTCTATTCGCAGTCGGATTACCTCATGGTCCTGTTCAATTGACATTGGACAACTCAAGAAACATCTATATCTCATCAAACTATGGCATGTACAGATGGATTCGTAGTTCCGCTTCTCTGAAATCGATAACTACAACCTGGTACTATAGTAATTCAAAAATACAACTGGACACAGCCGGTAATATCTATCTGGGTGGCGGTTATAATATGTATTCTAACGTTGATATCCTGAAATATAAACTTATATCAAATGCATGTTAACATATATCAGCACTTTTTCCATACTCCTGATCATGATACCACTAACTTTTGTTTGTTGTGTGTGTGCGTGTGTTTTTCGCTCCTTTAAGTAGCAAATAAGAGTGTAGATATCAAACTCTGAAATTTTTTCTGATACTATAATCGTCTGGATGTTTTCTTCGATTGATATCTGCGACTTTTATGTTCTATTACAGTTTGTCACATTTATATTCTTCAGAATTTTTACTGTACTTCATTTCAAGTGAAATGTCCAATGTGAACTTGTCACAATAATTCTTATTTTTGACTAAAATCTCATCGAAACGATTATCTATCAAAGCTTTTTTGAATAGAATAACGAACATGACATGGATAGTTTCAGCTCTTGAAACTGGTAGTATCATTGTTGTAATCGATGTGTTGGTAAGGGTAAGGATGAAGTGAAAATCTTTGTCCATATCGATCCTAACCATTGTCTTATCCGTTTACTCAAACAGATTCATTCACTTCACGCATAATGAAGCCACAGAAATAAAAAAAGTCGGCGTCCTGATTCATATGAATGAACAAGAGATTCTCAATGGAGATCTGGATGGGTGTGGGTGTGGGTGTGCGTGTGGGGGTGTGGGTGTGGGGGTGTGTGGGTGTTATATCACTCTATTGGGATCCACACTCACACCCACACCCACACCTACACCCACACCCACACTCACACCCACACCCGCCACCCACATCCACCCACGCCCAAACCCACACCCACCCACACCCACACCCACCCACACCCACCCACACCCACACCCACACCCACACCCACACCCGCACTCACACCCACACCCACACCCACACACCCACACCCACCCACACCCACACCCACACCCACACTCCAGTAAATTGCCAATATATTTTATGTTATTTTCTTGTTGTTGATCAATCTATCGTAAACTCCTCTGTATTTATAGAAATCTTTTGCAGTGTTTAAAAAAGACGTCTACCCAAGCAGACAAACTTTTGAGAAAATGCGTTTAAACGCACAGAAATCGACCTAAAATCAGCGAAAAGTGGACGTTTTTGGTTCACAATTGGGAATCTCAAGTGCGAGCCAAAAACGACCATTTTTCGCCCTTTTTGTGCGTTTAAACGCGTTTACACGCATACAAAAAAGAGTAAAAAGTTGTTGTGTTTTTTCAGCTCTAGAAACGTGATTGTAATTATGATTGTGCATCCCGAGTATGAAAAAACGACCACTTTTTCTCTTTTTTGTATGCGATTTACTATGAAAACGTCGAACGAAAAAAAATCGAAAAAAACAAATCTCGATCATATAATATGTCGAAACTTCTGAGATGTCGTTATTGACCAATATTGATTTTCCTTCAGAATAAGCAGTCATGACCGGTTCCGACCTTGCTTAAGGGCCTCATCACATGGCTTTATTCAAATTCATCATCATAAAATGACGATGAAACTGCATTCAACCCATAGAATAGAGGAGATTAGAGCCCGTCGAGTCTGAAAATTTTAAGTCGATCTAGTCCAGGTACATTCTGCGTCTGTAAATTTCTATTGATCAGAAAAAAATATTCACTATATACAAGAATTCTTGTTTTTGATTTTCTTTAGTTTTTGTTTATTTTCTTCAGAAAATTGTGAATTTATTTATAGAAGAATAGCAGAAAACAACAAAACTCTTCATGACTACAGTATCGAAATCAAATTACTATTATGAGCCTACGATGCAACCAAAGTATGATCTGGTTCTTTACTACTGTCTATAGTTTCAATACCATCAGACGAAGAGTCAAATTCATTATTTTTCTTGGTTTTTTTTGCTGTTGATGAAAAAATTAAGTTGTCTCTATCTTCATCGAGTGAGACTAGTTGATCATTTTCCCATGAAGGGTTTCAAAAAGTATGATTCGTACCCAAATTTACAAGTGATTAATCATTTGGATTCGGATCCAAAAATTTCGATGGACCGGGTTCGGGTCCAAATCCAGAAAAAGCTTAACCGATCGGGTCCAGATTCAAAAAATCATGGACCCGACGGGCTCTAGAGGAGATACAGTACGAAAATTGTGATGATGAATTTAAATAAAGCCATCTGATGAGACCCTTAATCAAGGTCGAAACCGGTCATGACTGCTTATTCTGATCACTGTTCACACAAACTTTATATTAATCACGCACATCTGGACCTATCGAATGATTCATTTTTTTATCGTTCTTTGCCATTATCAATAAAAGTATTTTTTCTTTTTTTCAATCAAATAAAGTAAATATTTTATATTTTTTATTGACTCGACATTTTTTTCATTCGATCTTCTTTTCTTTCGACTTTTTTCATTCGACGTTTTTTTTCGACATTTATTTTTCGACGTTTTTTTCGGCTTTTTTTCCGTCGACGTTTTTTCTTTCGGTGTTTTCAATATATACCTTGTATGCGTGTAAACGCATTTTCAGACAAAAACGCGTTTAAACGCACAAAATGGGCGGAAAATGGTCGTTTTTGGCTCACACTTGAGGTTCCCAACTGTGAGCCAAAAACGTCCACTTTTCGCTGATCTTAGGTCAATTTCTGTGCGTTTAAACGCGTTTTCTCAGAAATTTGTCTGCTTGGGTATTTACTATATTGCTTTCATCGAAATGTGAATCAGTGCGCGGGTAACGTTGGTAAACATCAATGATAAAATAATTGAATCGACTCAGTGTGATAATAGCTGGACAATCAATCAAAATACTTTCTCTGTTTCTCCTTTGTGGTCAAAAGAAGTTATAGTTACCCATATATTGGAACAGGTCACAGGACGAATCCCAGAAGGAAAAACTCCATACGATTCTGGTTCCCCATGAGAAAAAAACAGTACAAATGGATTTTTAGGAAGCAGATTTTCGATATAGGAAATCTGGTTATACCAATCGATTGAGCTCGTCGAGTGGTACTTAGAAAGAAATACAGACGTTGAAACAAATCTATGGACGAATTCCAGAAGGAAATACTCGAATCAATCGATAACTTCACTCATGTGTATTAATAATAAAGATTCTACAGTAAATTAAGCAATGTAAGTATATTATGCGTAAGAGTTATTAGGCAAAGTTTCTCTTAATGTTCAACGAAGTCTATTTTTATTTTCAAAATAGTTTGCTGATGATCATTGTAAATTGTTTTGAGTAAGCATTCTATAATAAGCACCACATTGTTGTATTAGTTCTGTATGAGTACCACTCTCCACTATATGTCCCCTATCAAGTACACAAATCAAATCACATGAACGAATAGTTGAAAGACGATGAGCAATAATGAGTGATGTTCGACTAGAATCTTCTGTTTGAGCTTGTTCAAGAGCTTCTTGTACAATCTATTATTGAAAAATGCAGATGTGACTATAATTGATAAACAGACAAAAAAAACAAACTCACTTGTTCATTATGCGAATCCATGGCGCTTGTAGCTTCATCTAAGAGCAATACTTTAGGTCGACGAAGAAGAATTCGAGCAATAGCAATACGTTGCTTTTCACCACCTGACAGAAAACTGCCTTTCATCCCTACTTTTGTTTCATAACCCTGAAAAAAATCTTATACAATAGTAATAGATACATGATATAATTTTGTATTGTTTAACCTGAGGTAACTGTTCAATAAATTGATGAATATTAGCTTTTCTTGCTGCATTGATAATGTCTTCCATTGGAACATTTTCTAAACCATATGAAATATTTTCAGCAATTGTTAAATCAAACAAAATTGGTTCTTGACTGATAAGACCGAATTGAGAACGAATCCAATGAAGATTTAGTTGTCGAATATCATTGCCATCAATAAGCTAGATTAGGTAGAGAAATTTTATATGATTATTTAAACTATGCATTGAAGAAATACTAACTAGTTGACCACTTGTAACATCATAGAAGCGTTCCAATAGTTGAATAATTGTTGATTTACCACATCCGGATGTACCTGTATGGATCATATTAGATAATTAAGATTTAAAATACACATTTATTTCAAACATACCAACAAGAGCTACACGTTGATCTTATTAGTGAATATAAATTTAAAAAAGAAACGATTAAATTGAACCCTATGTGACTTACTTGCCTTGATATTCAATTGAAATTTGTTAAGGATTATAGATGTTGGCCGAGTTGGATAGCTAAATTTGACTTGATCAAATTTTATCTCTCCACAAAAATCAATCTACGTGAGTGATATTAAATCCACGGCATGTGTATGATTAAAACAAAATAACTATTTTCGATGTTCTCTTACCAATTCTCGTCCTTCAGTAGATGTATTATCTATTGTAGGTTTTCGATCAAATAAATCAAAAAACGCTTCAGCAGCCGAGATTGATGTAGCAATACGGCTAGACCTAGAATGGAGACAGTAGAAGAAGAAAAACCGTAAACTTGAGATTGATAGTGTTACATCAGTCCGATGGTTTTTAATGTTTGGATCGAAAAAGCAGCAAAAGCAAACACCCTAATAAATTGAAAAGATAGTGAAACATTGTTTCTAAATTATTAAAATGCAGCTTCAATTACTTTATGACACGGTTTGAGGCTAGTTCGTTCTTCTCAAAGAGATCGTAAGTACGCCAATACAGAAGTGCCGTAGAGTATCCATATAGTGCCCAACATATGCCACATGTTATTGAAAATAATATCGAAGATTTCCAAGACAATCTATGACAAAATAAGATTGATTAAAAATTTCTACATGTATAAGATTCGATTGACCAACATAAATACTTGATGAATGAATTCAGAATATTGTCGTAACACTTCTTTTTCTATTGATAAATGTTTTACTGTATGCATATTGTGAATAATTTCAACAACAAGCTGCAGAAGTAAAAAACAGAATGAATATAGTATATTTAGTTTGATAAACAACTGATGATTAGATTGTTTTCCTTATGAAAAGAAAGGTTATCAGCTAAAACCCAATCTTACCATGCTTGCTTGTCCATTAATGAGGCCAGATTGCTGAGTCACCCATGAAAGTAAAATCACTTGGCCATAGACAATTAGGAATAAGAAAAAAAGAGGAGCAAAAACGATCAATGTTAATTGCCAACTTATGAAACATCCAAATAGAATTCCAAAAAAAGACAATGCAACAGCTTCACAGATGGCTCCTAATCGCGTACTAGTCATCTCTTGAATGGCTGATGCATCAGAAGAAAGACGAGCACAAATCGCACCAGAACCATTCTCAGGTTGATCGAAATAAGCAATTTCTTGACGAAGAAGACATGCAAAAGCTTTCGAGCGAATACGATGCGTCAATTTCAATCCTGCTATAGTAAAAGCTGTATACTATATAAAAGAGTAAATAGATCATGGATCAAATTCAGAAGCAACATTTTTACTTGAAAGAAATGAAGAATCCATACTAGACCACCCACAAGCAAAAAAAACAAACTAGCACCCAACACATAACGACGTCGTTCAGACGTTAAACAATACTTGAATGACTACACAATAAACAAATCGACACAAAAACGATGTACATTGTCAATATTTTTGCATGATATCTGTATGAATGAATCACTCACTTCCACTATTTGAGTAAGTAAAAATGCAAACAAAGGTTGAACTGCTCCATTAAGTACACATGCTATGCAACCAATCAAGATCGTGATCCATTCAGGACTAGTCATTGACAAGAGCCTTAAAAAGACAAATCTTCGTCTGAATGGTCTTGTAGTTTTCTAAAAGAGAGATTATCATTAATGGTTTTTATAAATAATTGCAATAGTATTTGTACTTTGTTCACATCAACAATTTGACTATCGCTAAGTAAACGAGAGCATTCGACTGTTAATGAAAAAAAGACGAATAAAATTGAAGACTATCGCTATTAGAAATCTCAACATACATATCGACTTTTCATCTTCTTCTGTCGTTTTTTGTATGCTCATCATATCATCTTGATCATCATTGATTCTTTCTATTTGTTGACATTTAACCATTGATTGATATTTACCTCCTTCTTTTGCCATTAATGTTTCATGTGTACCTTGTTCAATCACACTTCCATTATCTAATACATATATATGATGAGCATTTTGAATTGTTGTCAAACGATGAGCAATGACAATAGTTGTACGACCTATACAGAATGTTATAGCAATTCGTTAAGCAGAAAAAAACAATTGTTACCTTTGCATGCTCGATCGAGCGCTTCTTGAACAATTTTTTCGCTAATATTATCAAGTGCATTTGTTGCTTCATCCAGTAAAAGGAAAGTAGGCTGTTTGACAAGAGCACGAGCTAATGCAATACGTTGTTTTTCTCCACCACTTAGCTGTATACCACGTTCACCAACAAGTGTTTCATATTTCTAAACAAGAAATAGTGATACATATATGTAGATAAATGTAAATATTTGGCGCAAACATCTGGTAATTGCATGATGAAATGATGTGCATTGGCTTCTCGTGCTGCTTGTTCAATTTCTGCTTGTGTGGCATTTACTTTACCAAAACGAATATTTTCATAAATACTCATACCAAACAGAATCTATTACAATATTGAATTAAAATGTAAGGAAGAAAAGAAAAACGAAAAAACAGCATACAGGTTCTTGACTAACAACTCCAATGTTTTGTCGAAGTTGTTTGACATTGTAATCTGTTATTGGGCGGCCATCGATCATTATTCGACCCGATGATGGTTCATAGTATCGAAGAAAAAGTGATATACATGTACTTTTTCCTATGAATAAATTATGAACACCAATGAGATTACTTTAAGATTTTTGTTTTTTAAAATACTTACCACAGCCACTTGAGCCTACGAGAGCAGTTGTTTGACCAGCACGAGCAAGAAGAGAGAGATTACGCAAAACTTGTACATCTTTTCGAGATGGATAACTAAAGTTGATATTGTCAAATTCAATATCACCATTGATATTATCAATAGCTTCTGTATTCTCTTTCCATACATCTATTTCATTGACACTTGCATCATTTCCCTAAAGCATGTAAACAAATACATAATATTCTTATTGATATGAGACACCGATTTACTCAGATTAACCTCATCAATAAGTCGAAACACTGATGCTGCTGCACCTCGAGCTTCTGAAAATGATTGAAACACAGGACCAGTAATACTTAAGTAGTCCAAGCATTGTGCAAAGATTGTGACGATCTGTATTAAGATAATAAACCTATATTCATTTCCTTATTGACTGATTATACGAATTACTCACGACAAGAATATCACTAATATTCAATGTATGATCATTTTTGTGTGACATAAGAAGAGAACCAAAGATAAAACCAACTGAATAAACTAGATAGGTTATCAAAGATAACCATCCAGTATAAATCCCCAAAACTGCGCCTTTGCGTATACTACTCCAACGAGTTGAATACAATTCTCGGTCATACCTAAATGCAGTAAAAATAATAATATGTTGTATGATGTCATATAGGCACACTATTGTTGTATATTCGTTTACCGTTTTTGCTCAAACTTACTACCATTGAGGGAAAGAACAGTTCGTAATGAACTAAACACTTCTTGAGCGATTTGTCCCGCTTTCGAATATGTCATTAATTCATTCATTGTTTCTTTAGCGATGAGCTATAATAATTCATAGACATTTAATTAATGGAAGTGGCTATGTGCACTCGAGTGCACATAGCCGCATCTTAGTGTATTGGCTATGTACACTCGAGTGCACATAGCCGACTGGCTATGTACACTCGAGTACACATAGCCAGTCAGCTATGTGCACTCAAGTAGGTATTATCAACTAGTTACTAAATATTGAGTTATATTATAGCCATATATGTACTTCATAATTAGCATGAGTAAAATTTATTAATAATTTTACTCTATTTATTTATTGTAAAATTCAAATAGAGTATAAAACAAGTATTAATATCAAACAAATATAAAAGAAAAAGTTAATTCAAATAAAAGTCAACTCATTTAGAAATATTTCTAGCGCTTGATCTCTTAGATTTTGAACGAAATGGTTGCATTTTATTATTTTCAATACATCGGACGGAAACTATATTGATGCCAGTGCTTTTCTTCTCTATTAATTGTGCCTTCTTTCTCTATTGATAATTTATAGAACGAAAGATTCTACTTTTTCTTGATTAATTAGCTTACAAAATGAGAAATTGAAAAACATAAAATTCCAATTAGCTTTCAATCTGGAACGAGATATCCTTTTTTCAAGACCCATTGATTAATCCTCACTAAAGAATAAGAATTACAGTAGTGGCCAAAAGTCCCGACCCTAGAGGATCTCAGCCATTATAAGTGCTGGATGTCTGAAAATTTGTGTGCGCATACTCCGTCAAGAATGCAGGTCAGAGACACAATTCTGCCTCGATTGCTTCAGTATAAAGAGAATTATGATAGATGGTATCTATTTTTGTATTGAGATTTTTAACCTGAAAAAGGACTGTCCACTCAATTTTACACTATTTTTTTTACCAAATACATAACTAAATTTTGATATTATTGCATGGAATTGGAGCTCAGTCTATGATCTTTCTTAAACCAAAATATGAGTTCATTTGTTCGAATATTGGCGTTTCTGCATGTCTCTGCATCCTCAGATTCACCAATGCGATGGTAATAGCCATGCTATTTTCCATCAGTACACAGTTCATTTATGAAACTTATGGACACTAATGTGCAACTACAGGAGACGCTTTTGCAAGAATTTGAGCTTCATCCACTAAATTGTTACTGAGTTACCGTCTTAAAATGATACCAGAGGATTTTTTTCCATATCATCGGTCATAGTAAATTGGCCATAATTCTAAAGAAAATTGACAAACTGCAATAAAATTAGTTGTGTGGATAGCTGAAACACAGCGCTATACAATGAACCATTAGCTGACCTACGAAGTCCAGCTTTTCCAGAGTTATGAAGTTCAAAGGCGAAATATGTGTTATCCATTGTCATCCATCATAATTCTCTTTATACTGAAGCAATCGAGGCAGAATTGTGTCTCTGACCTACATTCTTGACGGAGTATGCGCACACAAATTTTCAGACATCCAGCACTTATAATGGCTGAGATCCTCTAGGGTCGGGACTTTTGGCCACTACTGTAAAACAAGATTATAAACTGAGATTCTTTCAAGACGAGAAAAAATAGCTGTCAAAATTAGAGATACAATCAGAAACGAATGTAAAAGAAAATTTTTTCGTTATTGTTTTATAAAAAGATATTTTCGGATGATTAATGTTAGTTATATTGAAAATAACGAAAATACAACTATTTCCTTGAAGAATTTAAGAGAGTAAATGCTAGAAATATTTGTAAATCAGTCGATTTTTACTTGAATTAACTTTCTCTTTTATATTATTTTGATTCTAATACTTGCTTTGCATTTTATTTGAATTTAATAAAGAATAAATAGAGCTAAATTGTTAATCAATTGATAAATTTTAATTATAATAATTATAAAGAACATATATGGCTATAATATAACTCAATATTTAGTAATATTTTGATAATACCTACCTGAGTGTACATAGCCAGTCGGCTATGTGCACTCAAGTGCACATAGCCACTTCCTTAATTAATTGAACAACATTTCATACCTGAGAAAACACAAATGAGCTACCAATGACCAAAGGTATTAAACATAGCATAATCAAAGTCAATTGCCAGTTGACTATGAAGGATACTATTATACAACCAATTATGCACAGTAAGTTTATCATCAATATTAAGAATTCAAAACCAATGCCTTTCTCAATCTTTTCAATGTTACTGTCAATAATTGAATTAGATGGAGTTATTTGATAAAAAATATCACAATGACTTACTCAAATAGTTCAGTATTGAGTTGACTAGTCGGTTTGGCACCTATATAATGAATGCTCTAAAAACAGAATGAGAACCAGACAAAGATGGGCACATATGATTGGATGTTACTGTCATTCGACTCCTATTTCCCAAATTCAACTTCATCTGTATGTTTCTATCTACAATCCAATTTCAACTTTATTTTTTTTGGAAATTCTACTGCAACTATCGCTGTAAAAAGTCATGATCGACCCGATTTTCTTATAAAAAGTTGAATCCTTTTAAATTTGCTTCTGTAATCTGTGTTTTCCCTATCAATTTTGTTTTGTTTTCATTCGAGAAGTCCAACCGAAATTGAATCGCGATTGATAAAAATCTATTACTTCAAACTCCGCTAGAACTCTTATGTAAGTCGACACCAACTTCACTCATATTACACTCATCAAATATCAAGTTTTAATATAACAGCAATCTAACGTGCAAACTATCCCAGATGTCCTCTTTGGATTCAGGGACTTTTTACTTATACATACTAGATAGCATTGTGTTGGAAAGTCTAACGAGGAAACATATCCAACTATGGGACACCGTTTGGCTTCACGTTATCGATACGAATAGGCCTCGATGAGATTAAGAAAAGCTTAAAATGTTAAATAAGAGTAAGACGTTTCGGAAAAATCCAAAACAAAGAGTTGTATGTTGAAATTATGTTTATTGGCTCGTTTGAAAGTCATTAAATAATCCTGAAAATTTCAACGAAAACAAACTGTCTTTCTTCAGATAGTCAATTTTCAAGTGAACTCGATTGTTATGTCTTCCTACCGTAAATCGTTCTTTTTTTGGATACTGAATATCTTGAGAAAGACATGTTTGTTTTCGTTGAAATTTTAAGAACTATATGACGATTATCAATCATACCAATAGACGTAATTTCAGCTCGAAACTTTTTATTTAAAATCTTTTAGAAATATTTTGTACTTAATACTTAAAAGTTTCATTAAAATGGCCATAACTCTTCAATAATAAGCCGTGGACTCGAACCATTTTAAGAGAGGGCCCGCGGGCGGACCACCCTAGATCGCCGGAGAAAAACTTTTTTTTTTCGATTTTATTTTCTTAAATGATAGGTCTAGGTAAACTATAGTTAAATCCAAAATATTAGGTCATTTGATTTTACCTATGAAAAATGCGAGCTAGAACAAGTTTAAGGGAGTCTATTTTGACCCTATAAGCTGCTAAAAATGGGTGTGCGCAGTATTTTGACATTTTCTCATGAATAGTTTGACCGTTTGAGGTCGGGCACCTCTCATTAGATAGAGAACAGTATAGGCTACGGATTTATCCAATTTGGATGATTCATATATAGGATAAAAGAAACGCTATAGGTCAAAAACCTTCCTAACCTCAAGAAATCCTACACTCTGGGATGGCAGTATTTTGGACTTTTCTTGAGTGGTACAAGCGGTGCCAAACTTCTTTTTTTATCAGATATAGATCTCGTCAAGATACATCTTTTGACATTAAATTGTCACGACGAAAAAACTCGGGGGTCAAATTAGCAGGAACCATACTATGGACTACCCTGCCTAGTCACCATTGACCCTACCCTTTAAAGTCATACAATTTCTATAGAAATCACGAAAATTGGCTTCAAATTCATGTTCAGCTTGAAAAACTGGGTTGGATAGGTTATTTTAGATTGATCACTTACTTGTACCAAGTGTGTTCAAGAGCATGGGCCCACCTTATGGGATATATAATAGATATATGCAACAGTGTTTTGATAATAATTCACCAATATTAATAGCTATCGAGTTCGGATTTTTACCATTCGATAGCCCTTTTTGTAAGCTACAAAACTATATATGTTACAAGCTCAAAACTATTGATCACCTGAGTCGTACCTAGACATATTGGTGTCGGAGCACGATTTTATACATTTTTGCCTCCTATTTAGCTCCTTTTCCGTTACAAAACAACAATTTGAATCGAAACTAATATCATATTCGAAATCAGCATTAAAAACAGAGTCGATTCATGTATATTTCAAATAATTCTGAGAAAATCTTTTTCCTATGAAAAAATGACCCTGTACTCTCCTCAGGGTTCATGAAAAAATGATTTCTCTCAAAATGGTGTTTTTGTCGTTTAGTCTTTTGCCATTTTACTTTTGTTGAAATTAGAGAAGCTCGGCTACTTCATTCCACACGATAAATGACATTTGTGAGAGAAATCATTTTTTCATGAACCCTGAGGAGAGTACAGGGTCATTTTTTCATAGGAAAAAGATTTTCTCAGAATTATTTGAAATATACATGAATCGACTCAGTTTTTAACGCTGATTCTAAATATGATATTGGTTTTGATTCAAATTGTTGTTTTGTAACGGAAAAGGAGCTTAATAGGGGGCAAAAATGTATAAAATCATGCTCCGAGACCAATATGTCTGGGTATGGCTCAGGTGATCAATAGTTTTGAGCTTGTAAAATATATAGTTTTGTAGCTTACAAAAAGGGCTATCTAATGGTAAAAATGCGAACTCAATAGCTATTAACATTGATAAGTTATTATCAAAATACTGATGCCATCGTCTATCATACATCCACAAGGCCCACCCAAGATTTTAGCCCCGCCAGACACAAGTAAAAGATCGATTTAAAATAACCTATCCAACCCAGTTTTGCGAGCTGAACATGAATCTGAAGTCAGTTTCTGTCATTTCCGAAGAAAATATATGACTTCCTGGGATAGTCTTAATAGTCAGTAAGCAAGGTAGACCACAGCTTGACCCATACTAACTCAGTTCTCGAGTTTCTTTTTAGGATAATTTTATGTCAAAAGATGTGTCTCACTAAGATGTATGTCTGGTAAAAAAAGAATTTTGGCACGACTTACATAGCTCGAGAAAGATCCAAAATACCGCTATCTGAAGACGAGATCACATATAGAGTTTTGAAGGGTTTTCGATATACAGCAATTTTTCTAGCCAATATATTAGTTACTAAAATAGACTAAAATTGTAGCCCAAACATTTCTCTATCGAACGACATGTCTCCGAGCTCAAACGATCAAACTGTTCTTGAGAAAATCTCAAAATACTGAGTACACCCTCCTATAGCAAGTTTTTGAGGGTCAAAATACACCCTTAAAACTTGTTTTAGCTGCCATTTTTCATGAGTACAACCAAATGACTTGATATTTTGGATTTAACAATAGTTACATAAGACCTTTTATTTAAAATAATAAAATCGAAAAAAAAATTTTTTTTTCCGGCACCTCCGGCATAGAGTAGGGTGGTCCTGTGGCGGACCCTCTCTTAAGTTCTTCTTAGTCTCCCCGAGACCTACTCGTAGTCATAATGTGAAGTGGATCCGTGTCTGATAGTTGGAAATATTGCCTCGTAAGAAGATTTCAGTTCTTACTGAAACTTGGCGTAACTATTGAATCTTTAGTATTTCTATATACCGGAGACTCCTGTAGGGTTTCACATTTTCTGAGAAATTCTGCCTTCGAATTTTTGTCTTTAAACAATCTCTATTTGAAAGTTTCATATACATTAACTTGTATGAAATATTCCAGAGTTTGTTGATTTCGTATTTTCGACATACGAGCTAATCAAAAACAGAAGCTTTTCGAAGCATATTACAAGATACGAAAATATTTTGAAAAATTCGTATCTTGAAGATACGAAATATACAAAGTCTGAAACTCTTCTTACAAGGCGCTGTATATGAGATTTTCAAATTGAGATAGCTTCAAGACAAAATTTAAAAACACGATTTTTCTAGCGATCAGATACTCTACAGCGGTCTTTGGCAAATAGAAATTTTAAAACCTCAATAACTCTCTCAAATCTCAACAGAAAATGAAATCTCTTCGGAGTTTCTACAAGAATACTATGTAGTGTCTATAGATAAAAAAATCACTGAAATCGAAAGGAGGACATCTGAAGGGATTTCCTCATAAGACGACTCAATTCCACTTGAACTTCCGTAGATAAAAGTATCTGTTTGAGTTGAAGTGGCGCATCTCTGTACAGAGTAAGATCGCTTCTATGCACAGTAATCTAGAGACCATGTAGTACAATGGAAATATCTACATCAATTCGTCCATATTTCTCTAATATCATTTTAAAATTATACTATCTAAACTTCAGTTTTCCAAAAATATTTCTTGTTTTACTATTTCTGAAGCTGTCTCAATAATGGAGATGTCTGTCTTCATTATTGTAAAGTCATCATTTACTGACGTTAAAAGTTTCTTATAAAACAATAAATAATCGTAATTGCTCTCTAAAACTTCAAAATGATTATATTTCTATCAGCTTCTAAGAAAGCATTTGGTATGTAGAGGATAGCGAGATTGAGCATACACTTGTACTTTTATCCTAAACCCTTGACTTTAGATCTAAAAGTCCTAGAAATAGAGTCATATCTAGACATAAATAGATATTATCTATATACTTTAGCTTATGTCATAGACTTGCTAGAAGTGCTAATTTATGAATGGTGAGGATTCCTTAAAAAGGAAACGAAAAAGATGCTATTAATCTATAGTAATTCTAAGAAAAGACTAAGATTAAACTTTCGGAAAATATATTTTTTATAAATGGAAGTGTATTTGACTTACACGTTGAAGTATTGATCGAAAGAGAGAAATATGCATACGAAGTGTCTGTCGTTTCACACTAATGCTCCAGATGAAACATGCAATCGAGGTAACCAGAAATTCGACAGTACTATTAACTACGTTGACAAAGAAGAAAGATAATTTGCATTATCTATAATAATCAAATTATTGCGTTCATTTCACTTACTGAATAACCAATAAACCATATTCATAATTTTTTCTCGAAACAAAGGAACTGCCGGTGTTAAGGGTGATGATAAAACTACACTCATCGTATAGCGCAGTCTAAGATGAAAAATACCAAGGAAAGATAACAGAAATACACATGAAATAATAATAGTTTTTAGTGAATTACATATATGACGAATTATTGTTGAGCATATTGAGTTCTATGACTTGAGGATATGTATTGTTGTTCTCAATTGAAGCTATTGAATTTTGGTGTTGATAATCGCAATTATCACCAAATGATTCAGTAACAAATATTCCTGTGAGTCGACCAAAAAGAACTAAGGTAACGAGAGTGCAAATCGTTTCCACCATTCCCAAACACATAGCAATAAACATCAGGACAAAATCCATACGATTTGCAAACCGAAACTACAATGAAATCGAATATATCAGTTAGTTTGTATTTCCTGTGAATACACTTACTAAACGGAAAACACCAACTGCTTCATCTTTGTCACTATGTTGAGTATCATTATCTAATTTTATATATTTATTATCGCTGCCTTTTCTACTGAAACATCGACGCCAATCAGAAAAACTATGAAAAGTGATAAATTCATCGTATTTTTCTTGCAGTTAGTTATTCATTATATCATACCTATTGATGAAAAGTTGTTTCTTGCTCCCATTATCATCATCATCACCACCAATAGAGAATTTACTGGATGCGTTTAACAGATGTTGTCTATCACCCATGTTACTTTTTTGTTGATAAGACTATCATGAAAGGTGAACAAGGACAAGTATATGTAAATATCTGCGTAATTAAATTATTTGTGACTATTTTTCTTTTAAATTTATGCAATAACTGCGATCCTAAGATCCTAACAGTACCAGAAATGAGAAAGGAGAGAAAAAAAACAAAAAAAAAGTGAAATAAAAGGTACACAGAAGATACAAAAAGAAGCAGAGATTCTACATGTAACAATGCAGAGGAAACAAAAAAGGATGATGAGAAAGCCACATCCAAGATGAATACAGAGTACAAAGTAGAAAATAAACAAAAGAAAAAGAAAAAAGAAACGGACACACGTACAGCACAGACTGCGCTTCAACAACATGAACAACATTTAAACAACAGTTAACACGGACAGAAAAAGACATAGATCACAGCTTTAACAAAAAGAATCAGGAAAGAGTTGAAGTAGCTCAATTTCAGACCTTTCATAATGTGGTATAGAAGAGTTAGAAGGAACCGACGAAAGCCAAGTTAAAACTTTTTCTAAAATTGATTTGTAAGGGACGAATCTTTTAGATCTTCTCAACCCCATGATGGAGAACTCCTTACCCAACCAACTCTTCCTAAATTCAGCAAGGTTAGCTTTTTCAAAAATTAAATTACCATCAATCGAATTAGATAACGCTCTGAGATACCTATTCCAATATATATAGAGCAATGATCTTCCAAGGATATTTCTTCAAGAATATATGAAAAAAAATTTTCATTCCATTCGAGGCAACATAGAGTACGACGGAGGGAGGAGTAATAAAACCTAGAGAGGTCTTCCTGTTGTTTTCGCGTAAA